CGCGCCTCTTCACACCTCTCTGTTCACAGGTCGCCTCTGGCACCTGTTCGGCGCACTAGCCCGTCACGCTATAATCGATAGGGCGATGCCTGATGATGATCGAGAGCGTGGCGCAGCCACGCCAACGTCTCCGACGCTAATCTAGAGAGGTCGGCGCCGGCCGGTGCCGCGCCTCTTCACACCTCTCTGTTCACAGGTCGCCTCTGGCACCTGTTCGGCGCACTAGCCCGTCACGCCAAGCGCTAGGGCAATGTACGATGATGATCGAGAGCGTGGCGCAGCCACGCCAGCGTCCTCGACGCTAATCTAGAGAGATCGGCGACGGCCGACGCCGCGCCTCTTCACACCTCTCTGTTCACAGGTCGCCTCTGGCATCTGTTCGGCGCACTAGCCCGTCACGCTATAATCGATAGGGCGATGCCTGATGATGATCGAGAGCGTGGCGCAGCCACGCCAACGTCTCCGACGCTAATCTAGAGAGGTCGGCGCCGGCCGGTGCCGCGCCTCTTCACACCTCTCTGTTCACAGGTCGCCTCTGGCACCTGTCGGCGCACTAGCCCGTCACGCCAAGCGCTAGGGCAATGTACGATGATGATCGAGAGCGTGGCGCAGCCACGCCAGCGTCCTCGACGCTAATCTAGAGAGATCGGCGACGGCCGACGCCGCGCCTCTTCACACCTCTCTGTTCACAGGTCGCCTCTGGCATCTGTTCGGCGCACTAGCCCGTCACGCCAAGCGCTGGGGCAAGTGCGATGATGATCGAGAGCGTGGCGCAGCCACGCCAGCGTCCTCGACGCGCTAATCTAGAGAGGTCGGCGACGGCCGACGCCGCGCCTCTTCACACCTCTCTGTTCACAGGTCGCCTCTGGCACCTGTTCGGCGCGCTAGCCCGTCACGCCAAGCGCTAGGGCAATGCGCGAGTATGATCGAGAGCGTGGCACAGCCGCGCCAGCGCCTCCGACGCTAATCTAGAGAGGTCGGCGACGGCCGACGCCGCGCCTCTTCACACCTCTCTGTTCACAGGTCGCCTCTGGCACCTGTTCGGCGCACTATCCTGTCACGCCAAGCGCTGGGGCAAGTGCGATGATGATCGAGAGCGTGGCGCAGCCACGCCAGCGTCCTCGACGCGCTAATCCAGAGAGGTCGGCGACGGCCGATGCCGCGCCTCTTCACACCTCTCTGTTCACAGGTCGCCTCTGGCACCTGTTCGGCGCACTAGCCCGTCACGCCAAGCGCTAGGGCAATGCGCGATGATGATCGAGAGCGTGGCGCAGCCACGCCAGCGTCCTCGACGCTAATCTAGAGAGGTCGGCGACGGCCGACGCCGCGCCTCTTCACACCTCTCTTTTCACAGGTCGCCTCTGGCACCTCTGTTCGGCGCACTAGCCCATCACGCCAAGCGCTAGGGCAATGTGCGAGGATGATCGAGAGCGTGGCGCAGCCACGCCAGCGTCCTCGACGCGCTAATCTAGAGAGGTCGGCGACGGCCGACGCCGCGCCTCTTCACACCTCTCTGTTCACAGGTCGCCTCTGGCACCTGTTCGGCGTACGGCCCGTCGCGCCATGTGCTGGGCGAGATCGCGCTCTAGTAATTGCAAGGAAGGGCGAGTGGGGGAAGTGCCGGTAGGAGCCTCCCATCCCTCCATCACGGCACCCTCAGCGTCCCCGCGCACGGTGTGCATGAGGAATAGCACACGTGTGTGGGACTCGTGTCGAGCCAGATGGGAGTGGCCTCGTGGCGAGTGCCCCCCCCCTACACTGGAGTGGGGTGGTTTACAGGTTTGAGATGATATACGCTCCAGGTATTCGCGAAAAAAATTTTCGGTGCCACGATGTCGAGCCTCACGCCAGTCGCCCGCGGAGAGACCGTCGAGGTCTTTTACCGCCGCTCCACCGATCCGTACGGCTACTTTCCCGTGGAGACGGCCTACCACGGCCTGCTTCGCCCGCGAATCGGCAAGACCGACTGCTGGATCCGCGCCAAAGTGGAGCAAGACTGGCCGCCGCCGCTGCCACCTGGAACCATCGCGCCAGACTCCCTGGAGAGCGTGCCCGTCCTCGTCCGACACACGCACCCGCACTGGTCCAACTCGGACGGCCAGCGTCTCAACCCGGACGATCCCAAGGACATGGTGGTCTCTGTGGCCCGCTGCGAGGTGCGGCCGCTCAACCCAGACGGCGGCGGGGCGCATCCGCCGCCGCTGCTCTCGCTTTGCATCGTGCGATGGGGTGGCGAGCCGGGCTGCTTCAATGACGAGCAGTGGGGCCGTGCGTCGGCCTCCGTCTCGGACACGTACATCCACACTTTCATCGACGAGGCCTGCTACGGAACGCTCGGCACTCGGTACGAGACCATCTCAGTCTTTGTGAGTAGCGCCGCCGACCTCGACCGGCTGCAGCCGCCCGCCATCCTCGGTGCGATGCGCGGCGCCCACAGGGCTGCCGCCTACTTCCTGTGGCCGACCCACCAGCAGGACGCCACCGCTGACCAGGCCGGCATGGTCCCGGCGCGTGCCTACTTTGCGGCGATGAACCTGCTCGAGTCGGCGGGCCTACCAACGCGCTTCCCGCACCCCTCGGCGCTCTACCACACTCTGCTCGGCAAGGACTGGCAGGCCAACCTGTGCTTGCTGCCAAGGCTGCGCATCCCGCCGACCGTGACCGTCAACCGCGCAGACTTGGTGGCCGGTGGAGCCGCCCGCACCGCTGGCCGCGCCCTCGCCGCGCTGGGCGAGGTGCGAGCGGCGCGATACGGCCAGAGGGGTGAGCCGGCGCACCTCGCGCCCTCCGCTCTCGTGGACGGCGGCGCGGTCGCAAGGCGCGGCGTCGTCAAGCTCGGCTTCAGCTGGGAAGCGGCGCACGTCTGCATGTGGCGCGGCGAGCGACGCCCTCCCAAACACAATACGACCCGCCGCCCGTTGGCCGCTGCCCTCCCACGCCGCATGTGGCGCGCGCACAAACACGAACCGACCCGCCGCCGCCGCCGCCGCCGCCGCCGCCGCCGCCGCCGCCGCCGCCGCCGCCGCCGCCGCCGCCACCGGCGCACTGCACCACACCACACCACACAATGCATGGCGAGCCCTTCTCAATCGGCCACCCCCCCGGTCGCAGGAGAGCAAGGGCTCGCCAGCGCGCTGGAGTCCCTCTCCGACCTGCCGGGCCTCAAGGACGTAGATGCAGACTCAGACCCGTGAATCACCGGCTGTAGCCACATCGGACGCGTGCTCAGCTGTTTTCAGCGGTCCTCTCTTTTTGCTCGGGACGCGTTCGTAGTCACGCGATGCTCTTCGCTGCATTCCGCATCCACGCCCTGCTGGTGTGTTCATGACGTGTAGGCTGCGACGCGGCGTCGCTGCTCGTTCAGGACTACGTCCCGTCGTCCTTCGAGGCGCGCTCACAGGGAGGGGGGGGGGGGGGGGGCAAAAAAATTTGGGGGGGATGGCGGGAGGCTTGCCGCGGGCTCACCAGGCAGCCGTTGACTGCCGTCCACTCATCGGGGCTGATAGTGTCGCACGTGTAGCACGGGTCCACGTAGTGCTCGTTGTCGTCGCAACAGTGGGTGGTCCGCGCACAGTGTTGCGCGAGCGTCCCTGACGCGTCCGGTGGCTGTCCGTAGGCGCGCACGTACGTGGTCGGCGGCAAACCGGCGCACACGGTGTACTCTTCTTTTGAGCGCGTGGATCCGCACGGGTGCAGCCGCACCGAGGTGAGTGCGAGCACTCTCTCCGCGTGTTCTGACGACCGCTCCGGGTGTCGAGTAGGTATGTGCGCGATTTTGTCGAGCGCGACCGGGAGGGTGCGCTGCGGGATTGGATGGACGCCGATGTCGGCGCAATGGCACACGCCGAGAGGCGCATCGCGCGCATCATCCAGCATTGGATGGTGTGGTTGCGCTGCAAGTGCGCCCCCGCCCCAATCCTCCCCTCCTCCGAGCTTCGATGCTTCACGGCAGCGTTCTTCTGCACGTAGGTGCGCTTCGGCACCCATTCCCGCACTGAGGATCGATTGTTTGGTCAAGAGGGTCGCGCCGGGTCGCGCAGAGGCGCGCGTGCGGCCGTTGCCGCACCCACCGTCACCAATCACCTCGCTGCGTCCCACCGCGCCGGCTCGCACCCGGCTGCCCGCGTTGGTAGATTTCCCCGGCCCGGTAGGTGCACACCCTTGAGCTGACCGAGCTGGGTTTCTCTATGCTGTCGTGGGCCGATGGGCCGCGTGCTGTTTTCTCGGCGGTGCTCGCGTCAATGTTTGACGACATCGGTGCGCGCAGACGCATGGCATATATGCCGACGCCATCATTTCCCCATCCCGCTCTGCCCGGTTTGGTCTCTCCTAGCGAATTGACTCCACCCGCCCGTCCGTGCCCTTCAGGCCCCACAGAGGAGGAGAGCGCGCTGCTAGCTGGCCCAGGAGGCTACCCCGACATTGGTGGCGGTGGTGGGAGCGGCGGCGGGGCGGGAGTGGCCACGACGAAGGACAGCGAGTCCGCGGATTGCGCGTCGTCTGAAGGCGGAGAGTCATCAAGCGACTGCGACGCCTAACGGGTATACGACCTTCGCGTATACGGCTTTATACACATCTTTGCACGTACGTTCCACTGTGCGCGTCGTTTGGAGCCCAGTGAGGACGAAAGTCTACACCAGTAACCAGCCTGAAAAAATGACGCGGAAGAGTTTGTAGATTCGAAATTAAAACAAGTCGAGAGCCACTGTGCCCGAAGTAGGGGCGCGCGCGGGCGTCTCCGAGAGTTCAGAGTTGTGGGTTAGATTCAAGATTGTGAGACCGCGGCTGAGACGAGACGGCGATCGGCGTCTCCGAGACCGAAGTCGAGAGGTAAGTGCGGGTGCGCCGCCGCCGCGTGACGCGTCACCACCAGGACCACACGCTTGCAGGGAAGACCGCAAGAGCCCTGGATGAGACGAGGGGAAACGAAAAGAGAGAGGTGCAGAGAAACGTCTGCTCCAGCGCCCTCACAATCTGTGGCCGGCAGAGAGCAAGTCGAGATCATAGGTGGCGCGCTTCTCATCGTCGCTAAGGAAATCGTACGCCTCGCGCACCTGCGAAGGTAAAAGCGTGGTGCTGTCGGTCTATCAAGGTACGCTTGGGTCGATCAAAAGTGCTGCGGAGCGCTGGGAGCACGCATTGATGCGCAGGGCAGCGCACCGCGTGGAACATGCGCTCGCTTTCTTCTTTGTTGCCGGGGTTCTTGTCGGGGTGGAGCTGCTTGCTCAGACGGTGGTAGGCACGCTTGATCTCCGACTGCGACGCAGAGGGAGCCACACCGAGCGTGTCGTACAATGTGGCCTCCAGCACTGGCATGGTGGGCATTGGCTCTCGAGGTGGCAGCGGTGGTTCGTCTTCAGCCCATGAAGGCGGATCGTTCCACGGGGCCGCCTTGTCGGACCGTGAGGAGGCAGAGTTGGCCGATCCGGCCCACGAGGGCGCAGAGCGAGCCGTCCGAAACTCCTCCCTCTCCTCCTCCTCGTCCTCCTCCTGCAGCATGTGGTGTCCGCTCGTCTGTTTTTTTCGTCTTGCGTTACTCCTGCCGGGAAACCGCTTGGGCTCACCGCAGTCACTCGCGCCTCCCATTTCGATGTCTGGCGTGCGGCGACCTTCTCTTATCCTGACGATCACCTGACAGATGCGTAGGCCGAGAGCAAGGATGAGCGCTGCTCCACCACCAATGACGAGGGCCCGCAATGGATCCAGCCTGATGCCGTTGATGTCAAGTCCGTCTCCGGTGGCCGGTCGCATTGCTGGTGGGGTGCCGAGGAGCGCGGTCTGCGGGGGTTGCTCTGGCACCGGCACCGGTGATGGCGGCGGAGGTGGCGGTTGAGGGCTCGGAGGAGGAGGGTCGCACCACCAGCAGACAGTCGGCGGCTTAGGCGGCGGAGGCGGCGAGCGGGCTGGTGGCGGCGGAAAGGGCGGTAGGGGCGACTGTACGCGAAGGGCCGGGAGGCCAGGAGACGGTGGCGGGCGCTCGCAGCCGGCAGTCTTGCATCCAGCGCAGTGTGCGTCAACGCAGGTGAACGCATTGCACCAGCTGGCACACGGGAGTTTATCGTCGGTGCAGAACGAGCAAGCTGCGCACATCGGGCTCCCATCGCAGATCTCTACCTCGTTGTTCTCGTCGCAAAAGGCCTCGCAGCCGGAGGAGGCGGGAGTTTGCCTGTCCGACATGGGAGCGCCCGCCGTTCGTGGATCGCGGTCCTCGAAGTCGCTTGACTGCAACCCCTGCCTACAACTGTAGACGAGTACTTGTTCCAGGAGGTGGAGAGCCACGACTTGCCCTCCATCGACGTGGCGCCGGGCGTGCTCGAGATGACCCGCTCCCACTCCGGCTTCAAGTACACGCACTTCGACATCGCCGCCGGCCTCGCCACCACCGCGTCGGGGCCGGGCGGCGCTGAGGTGCTGCCGGCCGTGCGCAGTGGTTGAGAGCCAACTAATAGCAGTGACTAGTGGCTACTCACTGCTCATTAGGTGCTGTCGGCCATGCGCACCTCCAGAGGCGAAGGCGCGACACGGGCTCGGCCGGGCGCACTCTGTGTCATTATTACCGGCGAGTGATGACGGACTAGACGGGCTCGCGGGCTCCTCCTCGCTCTCAAACCTCGCCGAGCTGCAGACTCGCCCTCTATGCGGCCGATCCAGCGCCGGTCGGGAGAGGCGAGGCTCGTCGGAGATTTCGTCAACTCTCGAAGCAGCGCGCTTCATTGCTCAACTCTTCGACACGCCAGGCGAGGCTCGTCGGAGACCCGTCGCCGCGCAGGCCGAGCGAGGCGGTCGGCGAGAGCGGCGAGCCAATCAGCCGCGGCGGCGGAGGCGGAGGTGGAGGTGGCGGCAGAGGAGGCGGCGGCGGCGGAGGAGGGGGAGGGGGAGGAGGCGCCGAGGGGTGGGGCGGACGGGGCGTGCGGCGGCGACGAGGCCCAGTGGCAGCGCTCCGCGTGTGGTAACTAACCACCACTCAACAGTTACCCCCATCGATGATGAGTTAGGCCAAGTGGCAGCGCACGGCCTGCAGCTGGAGCAGCGCGAGGGGGTCTGCGCCGAGGTGAGGCGCAGCCTCGTTTTCTTTTCTTTGTGGTATTGCCAGTGCCCGCCAGTCCCGTGCCCAGTGTTGTGCGAGGGAGTTTTGTTGTAAAATTCTTTTCTTTGAGAGCGCCTTCGTCGTTGTTAATAATACAAACCGATGGTCACTTGTCGCAGTCGCACGCACATGCATCATGCTCATGCACACGCCACATCGCACCGCGCGTCCGCCCGCCGCCCCGCCCAGGCGGGAAAGAGATGAGGAGATGCCGCGCGGCTATCAAACGCACAACCCGAGCTTTGCAGATGAAATGAACTCGGGGGCACGGGACGCGGCACAAACGGGGCACAAACGCCAGGCTACAAAGACGGGGAGGCACGTAGTGACGCAGGGGAGTCTAGGCGACGGCGGCGTCCTCCGACGGCGCGGCGAGCCTGGCAGCCGCATTCACGGACTTGATTTGCGTCAACTTTGCTGTCATGTAGAAAAGAGTGCTAAGGATGTATTGGTTGAGTGGATCTAGGGCAATGTAAATCGCATAAAGGTGTAGTCTCCCGAGCAACCGAGCAGCGCGGCGGTGTGCGTGGCACTAGCAGGGCCAGGAGGGGTAGGCCCGGGCGGTTTCTTTTCTTCGCGATGTGTTAGCGCCAGTGCGCGCCAGTTCCGTGCGGAGCACTTGGAGCACTTAATAAATAAATAAATAACATCTCCAGGAGAGATGGGCGACGCACGAACACAGACTTGGAGCACTTGGAGTGCAGTCGGCGGGTAAAAATTCTTTTCTCGCGATGTCTGCCCCGCCGCGCCGCCGCTCGCGCCGCCTCGCCTCCGCCGCCACCGCCGCTCCCTCGCCAGACACGCCGCCGCCCGCGCGCCTCCTCGACCTCCCCAGGGAGCTCCTCGAGCGCGTCCTCTCCCGCTTCGACAGCCCCGCCGACATCGCTCGCGCCGCGGCCGTCTCGCTCCTCTTTCACGCCTCGCTCGCAGAGGAGGCCATCCGCTTGTGGGCGCAAGAGCGCGGCTTCGAGCTGCCGGTGCAGCCGCCAGCGGGCGAGGGCTGCGCCGTGCGGTGGCTGTGCTATTCGGCGCTGCTGTGCGAGTCCAACCGGCCGGCGAGGGCGGCGGGAGGCGAACGGCACAGCCTCTTCATCGTCGGCGAGGGGCGGCTCTCGTCGTGCGGGTCAGCGGAGGGCGAGGGAGAGGAGGAGGACGAGGACGAGGAGGAATTGCCAGACCTCCTCGGTCACGGCGAGGGCGTGACGCGGCTCAACACGCCGACCCGCCTCCCGTCCACGTTGGGTGGCGAGCGCGCCGTGAGCGTGTCGGCTGCAGTCTACCACAGCCTCGCCCTCACCGCCGACGGCGCAGTCTGGAGCTGGGGCTTTGGAGTCTTTGGCAAGCTGGGCCACGGCGACCAGCAGGACCAGCTGCAGCCCAAGAAGATCGAGGCCTTTGCTGGCCAGCGCGTCGTCGCTGTCTCGGCTGGAGCTTACCACAGCCTCGCCGTCACCGCCGACGGGGCTGTCTGGAGCTGGGGTGAGGGATCCGTTGGCCAGCTGGGCCACGGCGACGAGCAGAGCCAGCCGCTGCCCAAGAGGTCGAGGCTTTCGCTGACCAGCGTGCCGTTGCTGTGTCGGCTGGAAGGGCTCACAGCCTCGCCCTCGCCGCCGACGGATCTGTGTGGAGCTGGGGTCGTGGGTACTCTGGCCCGCTGGGCCACGGTGGCGATGAGGACCAGCAGCTGCCCAAGAAGATCGAGACCTTTACTGGGCAGCGCGTCGTCACTGTGTCGGCTGGAGGCAACCACAGCCTCGCCGTCACTGCCGATGGCTCCGTCTGGAGCTGGGGCGCTGGAAGCTGTGGCAAGCTGGGCCACGGCGACCAGCAGCTCCAGCTGCTGCCGAAGAAGATCGAGGCCTTTGCGGGCCAGCGCGTCGTCGCCGTGTCGGCTGGACGCGACCACAGCATCGCCATCACCGCCGACGGCGCCGTCTGGAGCTGGGGCCGCGGAGTCTACGGCCAGCTTGGCCATGGCGACGAGCAGGAGCAGCTGCTGCCGAAGAAGGTCGAGGCCTTTGCAGGGCGGCGCGCTGTCACCGTGTCGGCGGGAGAGTTGCACAGCCTCGCCATCACCGCCGACGGCTCCGTCTGGAGCTGGGGTGAGGGATCCTTTGGCCGCTTGGGCCACGGCAACAGACAGGCCCAGCTGCTGCCGAAGAAGGTCGAGGCCTTCGCTGGGCGGCGCGTCGTCGCTGTGTCAGCTGGAGTCTACCACAGCCTCGCCACCACGGGCGACGACGCTGTTTATGCTTGGGGTCTGGGCGAAAGCGGCTGCCTTGGCCACGGAGAGGACCTGTCGAACCAGCTGCTGCCCAAGAAGGTCGAGGCGCGTGAACTAAGCCGTCTACGAGTCGTCTCGAATGAGATCGACTCTCGACTCCCGTGAGGTATCGGCGATTGCCCGCGTGCGAGCTCCGTCGACTATAGTAGTAGTGTGTGTGTGTGTTGAGCAGCGAAAAAAGGCAATTTCTGATGCGCGCCCCCGCCGCGGGCCGCACAGCGCGCGCACGCACACTACGCTCTCTCCTCTGAGTCACAGTGAAGTCCAAAAAAGAAAAACACGCCGCGGAGCGTGACTGATCGAGGGACGAGGGGCGTGGGGGCGTCCCCGGCAGTCAGCGGTGGTGCGGCGACGAGGGTGGAGGCGGGATTGGCGAGAGACTACTCGCGATGTTTGTTTTTCTCTCTTCGAGGGCTGCATCACACGCCGAGACTCAAAATGTCGGAGACTGCCGCAAGGGCAGGCTCCAGTACCCCCAACGCGCTTTCACGACCCCCGGCACCTCCGGGAAAAAGGAACAGGCACAGTGACGGCGGGCATGGCCAGCGATGGGCGGAGGCTAAGGGCTCCCTCAAGCGCTTGGCGGCCGGCGGGCAGGCCCCGGAGAAAGGAGTAGTGGGTGTACCTCCTGTTTCCTGGCTCAACCACCACTCACCACCACCACTCTCAGGCTCAGCTCGACGCGGGTATCGACCTTGTGTTGCCCGAGGCGGCGCAGACAAAGCAGACGGCGGGCGGCTTCGGGATCAGCCTGATCCTGATCACCCTTCTCCTCTTCCTCTGCATTCGCCGTGCCAGGCACGCTGCTCAAGGAGGGTGGGCTGCGCTGCGCAAAGCTAACACCCCCTCGGCCCTCCCAGGCGCGCAGCGCACTTACAGGCGGTGAAAGGCGTAGAGCTTTCCGATGACATGGCGGCGGCACTCGAGGCGGCGGCCGACGGCGACGAGGCGGAGGAGAACGACGAGAAGCACAGATCTTTCTGACCCCCTTGTCTCGTCGGGCGCGGAGGGCGGAGCACAACGGCGCAACGGCTTAACCCGGCGTGCGCGCTCTGCGGTGCCACGAGAGTTGTACGAGAGAGCATTGCGGACCCCGCATGCCGCGCATGCCGCAGCTAGCGGCCAGCGCGTAGGCGCGCGTGGGGGGACCAAAATCGCCTGTGCGCGCTGCCTGCTGGGGACGTCTGGGGTCTGCCGTGGGTACGCTCTCTCGTCTCTGCGGAGTGCGGCGGCGGCCTGGGGCACGCCCATGCGTCCCCTCGCCTCCCGCCGCCGCGCGCCGCCCCGCCGGGGCACGCGCTTCCCGCGAAGTTTTCGATAAACTCAACTTCGATCCTCCGCTCTCTCCGCGGTGCGGCACGCATATCAACAAGTAGCCTTCACATACCTCATACGTGTGTGGCAAATATAAACGAAAGGCTGTCGGCGGAGCCTGCGCTCGCGACAGTTACCGACAGAGCCGACACGCGCCGAGACGGTCTGGGTGCGCGAGCTCGGCCATGATACGTCAGTGTAGGTACTCATGCATGCACCATGCTCGAGGTGCGGCGTTCTCGGGTGGGCGTGCCCACCGCGTGCCCGCTATCCGGCCGCGGTGGCGGGTCTGACTCTCCCCGCTATCGTTCACTTCCGCGCCACCTTGAGCGCGACGCACCCGGCCGCGATGGCAATGGCGGCGAGCAGTAGCTTTTGGTGCGGCGGCGAGGCAGCTGGCGCCGCGAGGCGGAGCGGGGTGCCGTCCTCACCTACTCACAAATCGACCCCTCACGATGCGCTGTTCTTCAGGAGCCGGACTGCGGCGCCACCACGCGCCAGCGAGCGACTCCGAATCGGGCAAGAGCATGGCGCCAGGCCCGACGTCAGTGTGGTAGATGTACGACACGGCGCCTATTCCACGCACCAGTACAGTGCTGAGGTCACGCCCCGACCGCCAGCGGAGGTGCGTGGTCGACCGGCGTGGCACCGCGCATCGGCGCGAGGGGGTACAACGAGCTCAGCTTTGGCGGAAGCGGCGTCGACTTGAGCGCAGCGAGCAAGCTCTCGGAAGCCAGGGTCGCCTCGACGGGGCGTTTTGGCGGGAAGTGCGTGTTTGCGGCGGCCAGCACCTGCGAGGCGGCACGGGCGAGGTCTTGTGCTGTGGGCAATCTCGACATGACACGTCGAGCAGCCTCGGCGGGAGCTGGCGAGGCTGTCTAGCGCCACCCTCGTGAGCTGTCCTGTGAGCTGTGTGCTGCGTGTCCAGCAGTCCGGACCCGGTGCTACGGCCGGTGACAGCGTGCCTCGTGTCGGCTCCCGAGCCAATCGTGTGCAGCGTGTGTGTGCGTGTGGGCCCGTCCTCCCCCCATTGCTAGGAGGTGTGTCACACTGACTGACTGCTTGTCACGAGGCACGGGACTGGCGTTGGGCGCTCGAACGGGCACTCTCCTTCTGGGCGCTGGGCGTGTGTTTGCGTGCGCGCGGGGACGTACGCGCAGTTTTCACGCGGTGTGCGTGGAGAAGGGCATGAGGGGCGCCGGCCGCGCGTGTGTTGGCGCGTGAGAGTGTGGTGCCCGAAGGCGAGAAGGGGCCCGAAGGCAGGAGGACTAGACTGCGCTCGAACGGGCACTCTCGGGTGGAGGGCGGTTCTTCGAGCACCGTGGGCAGGTGCCGCTTGAGAGTGAGGAGGACAGCGTTGGGGCCGGCGTCGAAGGTGTAGCCGCAGACGGTCTCTCCGGCAGCTTCGTTGAGGGCGTGCACCATTCGCACGATGGCTCGCGAGGCGTCATTCATGTAGAAGACGGGCGGGTACGTGTCGAGGCAGGTGGCGTGGAACTGGTTCGAGTCGCGCATCATCAGCTCCGCCACCTTGCCGAAATCGCGCGACTGGTACGCGGCCTCCATCTCGGCCAACCGGCCCGGCACGACGGCAGCGGCGCGGTGCGCGAGCAGCGGCGAGGTGTCGACGGACGTCTGCATGCCCGCAGTCGACGAGACTGTCTTCTTGGTGTCCGAGACGACGAGGACCAGCACCTGCAGCTCCGGCCAGTGCGCCTCGTCCGCCACCTGCCGGGCGCGCGAGTCGACGCCGTCGGCGCGCTGACCCATGTCCCACGCCACAAAGCCGCCCGCGAGCGAGCGGCAAGCGGAGCCGGACCCCATGCGCGCGATGCAAGAGAGCTCGTCGGCGAGCGAGTCGGGCAGGCCGTACAGCTTGGAGAGGGCGAAGGTGAGGGCTGCGTACCCCGCCGCCGACGACGCGAGCCCCGCCGCGGTCGGAAAGTTGTTTTCCGACACGACCCACACGCGGAGGCCATCCCACTCGTCCTTGCGGACGAGCACCTGTCCCGTCTTGGGGTCGCGCAGGTCGCCGGCGCGCGCGCGCACCTCGCGAAACACGGCGAGCACGCGCCGGCTCGCGTTGACGTCCTCCTCTTCCCCGTTGAGCCAAAGGCGGTCGCGGCTGAAGCTGCGGCTCGCTGAAACGGTCGTCACAGTACGCAGATCGCGCTGGTTTAGCGTGACCGAGACGGACGAGTTTATGGGCAAGTTTATCTTGGCGTCGCGCTTGCCCCAGTATTTGATCAGCGCGATGTTGGTCGGCGAGGAGATGGTGAGGGAGAAGACGGGCTGCTGCATGTATGTGTGGAGGTTCGAGAGTGCTTCCGCTCAAGGAGGAGCCGGCGGCTAGAAGAATTTATTTTTCCGTTAGGGCTGATGGCGCCGCTCATATACACACACGTATATGCCGCCAGAAAGAAGAAAACTGAAGAAAATTCACTGTCCAGCTTCACTGTGACTTATAGAGAGCTTCACTGTCCAGTCGTCTTGAGTCACTCATTTCCGAAGTTACTCTAGAAGGCATAAGGGGATTTTCATCTCATGAGCGCCCCGATCGCCTCCGTCACCGCCGCCACGAGCCGCGACGCCTCCCCCTCGCTGCGCGGCCCGTCCCTCTGCCACCTCGCCGCGTCGTGGTGCCTCGCCGCGTTCGCCCAGATGCGCAGCGAGTGCAGCTGGCTCTGCAGCTCAGTTGGCAAGCCGCACTCGCGGTGCCAAAAGTTGATGCGCTCCTCAAAGCCGCCGGGCGCCGCCGCAGAGCGCGAGGCGTAAACGGAATCGAGGCGCGGCATCAACGTCTTGAAGGCGAGCAGCATGTTGTCCTGGATGCGCGCCTGTGCGTCGCCGCCCGTGCGCATACCGCGCACTTGCAAAGAGAGAGAAGATGGCTCGTAGCCAGTGGAGCGGGCCTCATCTGCAGGTGCCGGCGCAGCCTCCTCCATCCCCGCACTGCCCTCCGCGCCAGACAGCAGCGCCCGCAGCGTCGTGAGCGCCTCGGGCAGCGTGGGTCGCTTGCGCAAGCTTTCGTGGCAGAGGCTTTTCCCCTCCGACTTGGCGAGGTCCTTGACAGCGCGCGCCGCGACGGCTGGCCACCCCGCCGCCGCGTCTGCGAGCTTCGCCGCGTCGATGTCGGTCCAGTCCTCCTCGAACTCGTCCTCGCACCGGTCGGTGAGCTGCACCTCGGAGCGGTTGGTGAGGCAGACGAGGAGGGTGATGCCAATGGCGTAGCCGTCGGTCTTGCTCGAGTACTCGCCCCCCTTGGAGATGGAGAGGCAGAGGTAGCCCGTGGACATGTAGAGGGCGGTAGAGTGGCAGCGGACAGACGCGTCCGGCCGCTGGTCCTTGGCGAAGCCCGTGTCAGCGAGCACGGCGGTGAGCCTCTCGTCGAGCAGGATGTTGTCCGGCTTGACGTCGCGGTGGACGATGCCCTTCGAGTGGAGGTAGACGAGCGCCTCGGTCGCCTCGCACGCAATGCGAACGCGTTGTCGCCATGTCAGCGGCCTCGGCGCCTCTTCCATGCCCAGCCGCCGAAGCTGCGCCGCTCGGTCGGGATCTGAGATGCGCAGCCGCGCCTCGAGCGAGCCGCCGCGCATCAGCGGCGAGAGGAGGCAAACGCCGTCGGGCGAGAGGCAGTAGCCGAGCAGCGGCAGCAGGTGCGGGTGGCTCACCGCCTTCAGCAGCTTCACCTCGAGCTCCGCCCGCGACAAACCGCCCGACTGGCCCGACTTTGCCCGCTTGACGACAAGCGGCAAGTGGCGCAGCTGCGGCGGCGCGGAGAGGGAGAGGTGGAGGTCGGCCGACGCCTCGTAGACGCGACTGAACCCCCCGCTGCCAATCAGCTTGCCGTCGGCAAACCCGTCGGTAGCCGCGGTGAGGTCCGACAAGGCTATCTCGACGGGCCGAGCAACAGCCGCCTCGTCCGCCGCGGCCGGCTCGGCGGCGACAGACAGCTCTTCCAGCTTCGACTCCGCCGCGCTAACCTCCTCGGCCAAGGCAGGCAGCGCGCCCACGTGCGGCCTGGCGGCGGCGATGCCCGCTCGGAGCGCGGAGGGGCTGTCCGCTGTGTCGAGCGACTTGAGCGCGCCCATCGCCGCTCCATGCGCCTTGCGCAGCCGCTGGCTGTCCCGCCTCCGCGCCTCCTTGAGCTTGTCGCGCGCGCGCCTCGCCGCCGCCAGCACGGCCGGGCTCGCGAGGCCGCTGCACGCCTCCAGCGTTCTCGCTAATCCGTCATACAGGCCAGCAGCCACGGCCTGCTGCAGCGCCTCGTCCGCCGCAGCGATGGCGGCTGCGTCGGCGGGTGGAGTAGGAGAGGCTGGCGGCGGGGGTGGCGGTGGTGAGGCGGCGATGGCGCTGGGGCCCGGAGCCGAGACGAGTGCCTCGCCGCCGCCGCTCTTCTTCTTCTTCTTCTTGCCCTTCTTGCTCTCCTTGGCGCGGTCCTCCTTCTCCGCCTCCTCCTCCGCCAGCAGCGCATCGGCGTGTCGCGCCGCCTCCGCCTCCGCCGCCGCTCTCTCCGCCTCCCTCGCTGCTGCCTCCGCCGCCACCTCGGCCGCCGCATGCTCCTCGAGGGCGCGCACGCACTCGGCGTGGCCGTGCTCCTTCGCCCACTGCAGCGCGGACTGGCCGTCCCCAGAGCGCAGCTTTGTATCTGCGCCCGCCCGCAGCAAGCACCGCACGACGGCGGGGTGGCCTTGGATGGCGGCGATCATCAGCGCGGTGACGCCGACGCTGTTCTGCCTGTTGACCTCAGCACCGCGCTGAAGCAGCAGCTCGACCACCCGCAAATGACCTTGGGCGGCGAGCATCAGCAGCGTGACGCCGCTCGCATTGCCTCTCTCGTATGTCGCGTTGACCTGCCCGCTGCTGTCGAGCCACGACAGCACCGCCGCCTCGTCGCCTTGCGCAATCGCTACTACAGCCTCTTTGGGAAAGCTGCCCAAGCTGGAAGAGGCCGCCGCACTATCTCCCGCCTCCGCTTCGCCCGAGGAAGCGCCGCCCGCGCCGCCCGCCGCCGCCTCGCGCCGCCCCGCCGTGGCCACCTCCGCGACGTGCTGCCGGAAGGCCTCGACGCACGCGCTGTGGCCCTTCTCTTTGGCAAACTGCAGCGCTGTCTTGCCGCTTTCAGAGCGCAGCTTCGTATCCGCGCCCGCACGCAGCAAGCGGAGCACGACGGCGGGGTGGCCTTTGCCGGCGGCGTACATCAGCGCGGTGCCGCCGCGGCTGTTCTGCAAGTTGATCTCCGCCCCGCGCTGAAGCAGCAACTCGATCACCCGCTCGTGGCCCCCTTGGGCGGACAGCATCAGCGCGGTGACGCCGCTCACTTCGCCTACCCCGCAAGTCGCGTTGACCCGCCCGTCGCTGTCAAGCCAAGCCAGCAGCGCCGCCTCGTCGCCGTGCGCAATCGCTAGAGCCGCCTCTTCGGGAAGGCTGCCCAGCGAGCTAGAGGAGGCCGCACTCCCTCCCGCCACCGCCTCGCCCGAGGAAGCGCCGCCCGCGCCGCCCGCCGCCGCCTCGCGCCGCCCCGCCGTGGCCACCTCCGCGATGTGCTGCCGGAAGGCCTCGACGCACGCGCTGTGGCCCATCTCCTTGGCATACTGCAGCGCAGACTTGCCGTCCTCAGAGCGCAGCTTCGTATCCGCGCCCGCCCGCAGCAGGAGGCGCACGCTGGCGGGGTTGTTGAAGACGGCGGCGCGCATCAGCGCGGTCCAGCCGTCGCTGTCCTGGAAGTTCACCTTCGCCCCGCGCCTCAGCAGCAAATCGACCACCCGCTCGTGGCCATTGGCGGCGGCGGTCATCAGCGCGGTGTCGCCGTCGCTGTCCCGCAGGTCGATCTCTGCGCCGCGCCGGATCAGCAGCTCGACCACCCGCTCGTGGCCATTGGCGGCGCCCATCAGCGCGGTGGCGCCGCGGCTGCTCTGCAGGTTGACCTCAGCGCCGTGCTGCAGCAGCAGCTCGACCACCCGCTCGTGGCCGTCGCTAGCGGCGCCCACCAGCGCGATGTTGCCGTTGCTGTTCTGCAGGTTGATCTCCGCGCCGTGCTGCAGCAGCAAGTCAACCACACGCTCGCGGCCGTTGAAGGCGGCGCCCATCAGCGCGGTGTTGCCGTTGCTGTCCTGCAGGTTGACCTCAGCGCCGTGCTGCAGCAGCAACTCGACCACCCGCTCCTGACCGGCGCGGGCGGCGCGGTACAGCAGCGTGAGGTATACGCCACCTCCAGCTTCGCTGACCGCGTTCGCCTGCCCGCCTTTGCCAAGCCACGCCCGAAGCACACCCACTTTGCCGGTCGTCGCCGCGTTCACGATGTTTGTTGGCGCCATTACGCTGTGCGGAGAGCTGGGCGTGTTTTTTTTTTGAGCCGCGGCAATTCCCGTAGTGTCACAGCCATGGTGGAGACGACTGAGGACAGGTTTCGCGGCGAGGCGGCTTTCGGCTCGTCTACCCGCTTCACTGCCTCATCCTCGGCTCACTCACATTGGGCTCTCCCCCCCTTCTCGCCAACCCACTAAATACCGCAAGAGTCAGCAAGAGTTCTCTTGCTCGCCGTCGGGGCTGGTCGGCGCGCGAGGCGGCTGTCGTGATGGAGTGCCGCCTCATCGAAGCGGGCGGTGGGCGGGGAACCGTCCTCCCATCCCTCCCTTGGGTTGTAGGCTGTTTTCTTTCTTTTTTCCCATCCCCAGTTTTGTTTTCTTTCTTTGCTCAACCCCGGGCCCAAAAGAATTTCACAGGAGTCGCTGCGCGCTGGTCTATCTTCTGCCGCAAAACGATCTTGGGGGCCAGGGTGAGACAACAGGTCGGGGTGCCACACGGTGCACACCACAGGCGTATTCATAGAGGGGGGAAAGAAACGGGAAATGAGGGGCCCCGCCACGAGAAGTGCGTTCTGGGGATGCAGAGCGTGCAAAGCGGCTAGGGATGAGGCTACAAAAGAGGCGCGCGAGGCAAGGAGGAGACGCGGAGAACTGAGAGACTGGGACGACTGGACACAAGAAGACAGTGAGCCGCCACAGGCGTCGTTGGCGCACATACTGAGCGGCAGCTGCGCTGGAAATAAGGAAGAGGCGCGTCACTTCATGCGGAAGCTCGACAAACACACAGCGAGAGCGACAGCAAGAGTCGAACGGGAGCCCCCCCCCCCGCCGGACTCAAAAGACACCGCCACATCCCTGAGACGCGCGAGGGCAGCCTCCTTAAAGGCGAAAGGGTCTAGATTTGGAGCGCTCGCCGAAGAGGAGTACGACAAAATAGCGCCCGTGATTGCATGCACGCTGCCCGCACTCACGGACCCCATACCCGAAAGAAAGAAAAGGGAGCTCGCGGGGGAGGTGACGAGTGAACTACAGGTAGTGGGGAAGGCAGCCTCGACTGCCATACAGACATGGATGCGAAACAACGACAAGACCAAGGCACGGGCGGAGGAACGAGAGAAGAACATAGGGTGGATAAAGCGCCTGTTCACACACGGCATGGAGGGTGAGCCAAGCCGAACGTACCGAACGTAGAGCCGAGCGGAAGGAAGCGGGGGAAGACGACTCCGAGGAGGACGAACCAGTGGAAATCCCGTTGTCAGCCGTCACGATGCACCCGAAGGCTAGGGGACCCCAGCGCCGGCATCATCCGTGAAGGCACAAGTGTTCGAAGAGAGAGTGGACCTGAGCAATGATATGACTGGGTGGCAAATGATCGCAGTGGGCGTCAGAAGACTCGTCCTTGCTCGAGGAGAGCTCGATAGACTCGAGGGGCCAGGATATGCAGCAAGGAGGGCGGAGCTGCGCCGAACGGCGAAAGAAGCCGCGAGAACAAGGGAACGCAGGCGGCGGCGGCGTCGCAGGACGAGGCAGAGGAGAGCGACGCGACAGAGGAAGAAGCGACAAGGAAGAGCACGACGAGAAGGGAGCGACCGCGAGGTGGCACGAAGGTTGAAGCGAGAATCGGAGAGAGACTGCGAAGAGAGATAGGAAGAGGCGGACGCCCTAGGGTGGGCGACGGCTAGCGCACCACACCCCTCTCCTTAAAATCCCTGTGTGGTGGCGGCGTGCCGTCCTCCCATCCCTCCCTTGGGTTGTCCGTTTTCTTTCTTTCTTTCTTTCTCTATCTTCTGCCGTGCGTGCCGTCCTCCCATCCCTCCTTTGGTTTGTATGTTTTCTCTCTTTCTTTCTGGTCTACGTTCACAGACCTGTTATTGAGAAGAAAATATGTCCTATGGCGCTGGCCTGTGCGCTGGTCTATGAGGGGTTGAGGTGCGAGCCCTGGAGGCCCTGGGGATGGGGGTAGACTACCCTCGGGCCTAGAAGGCGCCCGCGCTCAGGGGCGGGGGGATTCACAGAAACAAGAAGCTCACACCAAGTGGTCCAAGCGCATCCAAGTGCAAGAGAGATCCAATTGCTGGCTCACAACACGGACGGGACTGGGGCAAGTGGCCCGAGCCCATCCTGCCCCAGCCCTGCGGAGCGCGGCCGCTCGCGTAGCAGCTCTCTCAGAGAATGGTCGGTCGGACGGTTGAATAGTGCGGCCCCAAAGAGCGAGGGGAACCGGGACAGTGCCTCCCAGCCAGCCGAGGGAACAGCGGGCGGCAGGCCGATGTCCGCCGCCGGTATCCCGTTTATTTACACTTAGTCGTCTGAGTGGCAAAATTTCTTGTCAAACACGTCGGCCGACTAGTTAATTTATTTATACATACGCTGAAAAAAGAAGCGCAGATTAAACCTGTTTTCCGGCCAGTGCGCGCACTTCTCACACATATTTTCCCTTTCCCTCCCACCACAGGACAACACAAATTGCTAAATATCTCTCTCTCTCTCTCAGGATGCAGATGCGGAATCTGAGGGAGGGTGTAGAGGATGTAGAATGTAGGAGGGCTGTAGAGCTGTAGAGCTGTAGAGCGCTGTAGAGCTGTAGAGCTCTACATCCGGCGCGTGAGAGACGATGTAGAACGCGGGAGAGGCGAGGCCGTTGTTTGCAGCAGAGACGAAGTTGCGCTGTGGGTCGAACTGCTTTCCTCCCGCACTGCCGCTGCGCGACTGCATCGCCGACTGCCATCACGCAAAAGCCGGTGCAAGCCGCCGTCCCGAGTGGCCGTGTGCTGCTGGCGGAGCGGAAAGCCGCGTTCATGCGTTGCATTTCTGTCGACGCCCCTCCGGTCCACCACCAGGAGGCTAAACAGAGCGGAGGCGGCGATTCATTTTTCTTTTTCCAGGACGGATTTATAAAGAAAGCCCTCGCCCATGTCATGTTGCCCTCGTGATACGATGGTGGTTGCCAGCGCGGCGGAAATTCGGGTGGTCTGCATCCTCATTTTTTTTTCATGTGGCTCGACGGATTTATCAGAAGTCCCTGCCGATGTTAGGTTGTTAGCCCTCGTGATACGATGGTGGTCTCCATCCTCGTCGCCACCGTCGCCGCCGAGTCCGAGCGGGCGCGCAAGGGCCAAGCCCAAGGCTGGCGCGTGTGGCGTGTCGACCCGCTCGACACGCTCAACACACACACGACACGTAACTCACAGACGAAGGAAACCAATCTGCACATCGGCACTGTAGTGTGCATGGCGCGCGCGCTCCGCACTACGAGCGCGAGTGGCTGCGCAGCGCCCCCTTGAGCTCCGCCACCTGGTCGAGCGCGTCGCCGAGCAGCCCCTTGGCCACGCCGAGGTCGCGCAGCTGCTCCACGCCGCCGCTCGCGCGCACCTCGGCGGCGTGGTCGGCCACGAAGCGGCGGCACTGCGCGAGGAGCCGCCCGTCGCCCGTCGTGTGCGCCGCCTCGAGCAGCGGCACGGCGGTCGCCGGCCCGACGCTCTCCTGCAGCGCCTGCGAGCAGAGCAGCTCGAGGCGCGGCACCTGGTACTTATGCGCCAGCTGCCGCAGCACGAGCGCGCGCCGCGCCTGCTCGCCCTCCCCCTCGCCGAGGTCGAGCTGGTCGGTGAGGAGGTAGCGGACGAGGGCGGTGAAGCTCGCGAGGTCCGTTTCGAGCACCGTGACCTCGGCGGCGTCGCGCTCCTTCATGCCGATGCCAAACATCGTCCGAAAGAACACGGACCGCACGCAGAGGACGTTCTTGCTCACGTGCTCGATGCGCTCCTCGTCGTCGCCGACCAGGAAGGTGACCATGCCTTGAGGCAGAGTAGCGTCACCCCACGTCTTCTCCATGTCGGCGGAGAAGGTGGAGGGCGGAACCACGAGCGGCGCGAAGGAGGGAGGCGGAGGAGGCGCCGCCACGCAGACCTGGCGGAGGCAGCCGTTCGCGCAGACCGAGAGGGTGCTGCCGTCGGGGCTGATGGCGAGGGCCGTTGGGTGTTTGAACTGCGCCGCGCCGCCCACGCCATCAGCACTGCCCCTGGCGCCGCTACCCGTGAGCGTAGTGACAGCACCAGTCGCCACCTCCACCCGCCGGATCTTGTGGTTGTCGCAGTCCGCCACGAACAGCGCGCTCCCGTCCGGGCTGATGACGAGGCCGTGTGGCCAGTTGAACTGCGCCGCGCCGCCGACGCCGTCTGCATCGCCTTCTTCGCCGCTACCCGCGAGCGTAGTCACAGCACCGGTCGCCACCTCCACCCGACGGATCTTGTGGCTGCTGTAGTCCGCCACAAAGAGCGCGCTGCCGTCCGGGCTAACAGTGACACCCCATGGGCAGCAGAACTCCGCCGCGCCGCCCACGCCATCCGCGTCGCCAATTTCGCCGCTACCCGCGAGCGTCGTCACCGCGCCAGTCGCCACCTCCACCCGCCTGATCTTGTGGCTGTCGGAGTCCGCCACAAACAGCGCGCTCCCGTCCGGGCTGATTGCGAGGTCGGCTGGGGCGTTGAACTGCGCCGCGTCGCCCATGCCGTCTGCATCGCCATCCTCGCCGCTACCCGCAATCGCCGTCACAGCACCCGTCGCCACCTCCACCCGCCGGATCTTGTGGCTGAAGAAGTCCGTCACAAACAGCGCGCTCCCGTCTGGGCTGATTGTGACGCCGTAGAGCTCGCCTTCTTGGCAGGTTGCCGCGGTGCGCACGCGCCCGGCCGCCGAGACGTGCAGCACCGACGTACCAGCAACAGTGGTGACGTACCAGCCGCCCGCGTGATCGCTTGCGACGCCGCGCAGATCGAGGGACGCCAGAGGTCCGTCCTCGCCCTCGAGCGCCAGCGTCGTGACCTGGCCGACGGTGCGCGCGCCAAAGATGGGCGCCTCGAAGCCGTCCGCGACCGGCACGTGCTCGCCCTCCTCCTTGCCGTCGCTTCCGGTGCGGGCGCGCTTACGGGACGCCGACGCCATGACCGTGTTGTTTTTGCTGGTTTTTTCTCCTTTTCAGGGAGAGGCGGGTGGGTCACAGAAGGCTAACCTCGGAATGTAACACCAGAATGGCTGTGCTGGCTCCTTCACAGCCATCTTCCTAAGGATGGCTGAGCTAGCTGCAGTGCAGCCACATCCTCCAGTCTAATGGCTGCAACACACACACGGCAGCCATCCTTAGTAGACATGGCTGGCTGGAGACGCACTACCGCAGCCATACCGCCCGCCTCGAGGTGAGCCCTCTTGGCTGAGCTGGCTACATCATAGCCATCTTGGGAAAGATGGCTGCGGGACAGCCATTTCAGCCATCTACTATGGCTGGGGCACAGTCAGTGCAGCCATCCTCCGGAGCATGGCTGGTGATAATTCGATGGCAGCCGTCCGCCTCCCCCGCCACACGCACAAATGGCTGCGCGCTTGTCGCCCCCGGCCTCGCGCGTCGCGGGACGGCTGCCATCGGCTGCCATCGAATTACCACCAGCCATGGCTCTGGTCTCTGGAGGATGGCTGCCATCTCTGGGGAGGCGGAGCTGGAGGAGGAGGTCAACGTGCCTGATGCACGAGCGCACATCGAGTATGAGGAGGCCGCGGCCGCGTTGCTCGATGGCGCCGAGCTGGCGCCGCAGCTGGAGGGCATCGTCCGTGAGGACTGGAGCAGTTCGTCCTTTTGGCTGCGGCTGCTGCCTGCGTTGCGGCCTCGGCTCCGATCGGCAGAGCTGCGGCAGCAGCGCGACCGCCTGCTGGCTCTGGCGCGGGTGCCAATGGACGGCAGCGCGCTCCATGAGCGGGTGGTGGGCGCGTGCTATCGTGCCCTCACGCACACCGTGGCGGCACCACCGCGGTATGGTGGCCACTGGGAGGCAATTGGTTTCCAAGGCGCCTCTCTTGCCCGCTCACCCTCTCACCCTCTCTCAACCCTCGTCTCTCACCCTCGTCTCTCACTCTCTTCTCACCCGCTTGTCTTCTCACCCTTTACTCTTGACCCCTGCCCCCCTGACAACCTATTGCCATGAGCCCACTTCTCTTAGCACAGGCACTGATCCGGCGACGGACTTGCGCGGTGCCGGGATGCTCGCGCCGTTACAGCTGCTGCACTTTGCGGAACGCCGACCAGAGCTGCTCGCCACCCTCTACGCCGCATCGCTCCGCGAGTCCAACGGCTTTCCCTTCATGGTCGTCTGACTCACGGTACGACTCTGCTTGAGCGGCATCTCGGCTGATCTCGGCAACCACGCGTAGGTCGTCTCGATCAATATGACGCAGCTCGTGCTGCTTGCACTACGCGCGGGCGCACTCATGGTGCCGGCTAACCGCGCAGGATCGGTATATGAGGTGCGAGCCCGAGCGCCGAGCGCTGCATTGCGCCTCGTGCCGCCCCCCTTCCCTCAGCACATACTTGCCGCATAGGTGGCCCACTCCTACTACGAGGTGCGCTGCTGTTCTGTCGCCTACACAAATCTCGGCCACTGTACTCGGCCCCACCGCCAGCCCACCACGTTAGCTTTTGCCACATCTTGCTCTGTAGGCGTGCTTCCTCCACCTCTACGTCCTATGGTGTCGGCGCGGAGCTGACATTCGGCGTTTTGGAGAGATAAAGCGAGCGACACGGACGGCCTCAGCCCTCCGAGCTCGCCGAGTGTCACCCGAGCTGTCGATGAGAGTAGGCGGGAGACGCAAGGCGCGTCTGTGCGCAAGCCGAACGCGCTGCTAGCCGCACTGCGCTCGTGGGACGCTAGAAGGGGCGGGTCCCGGCCTCAGCGGGTGGTGTCGTGCAGCGATATGCCCCATCATCACTAGAGTAGATAATTAGATACGGGGTGTGGAGGGTGAGTTGACCAGGGGTTGTGCGCCGGGCCCTCCTGCTCGGCTCCAGCGAGTAGACAGGTCTTGCTATCAACAGAGTAGAAGAAGGATCTGACCTCAGGGCTGATGTGACCAAGCGCTGGTAGCGTGGTTTTACCTCACACCCATGGGGTCTCACACAGTGTGCCGGCAGTCGCCGAGCTCAGTGTCGCTCACACAAGCCGCGGCACAAGAAGTGACTGAGGGCCAGTGAGGGCGAGCCCATCCCCGCTGGTAGAGCTGTTTAACATTAACTTTGGGCCTAACAGTTGCGCTAGTGTTGGCTGAAATCCTTAACGTTGTTCAAGTGTTCACCCCAGTCCCACGCTCTGTTACTGTTTGTTACTGTTGTTACTGTTGTTCAGCGGCCAGCAAGCAGAAAATGGCAAAACCCCCGGTTCTCCTTGAACGATATCGGTGTCGAAACACCGCTCTGACAGCGCTCACAGCTCCGGGTAAACCCCGAAAATACCTGGGTCGTTCTCTTCCCGCTGCCACAGCTTTGGCAGTCGGAGGAGCTGCTCTCCAGGCTTCTGTCGCAAAAAGCTGCATGCCGCCGAAGGCGCTGTCGAGGTTCGCCGAGCGCGGCGCAGGTTGAGGGACACCGTCACCTCCGGTCACCCCGAGACGAGCGCGTTGGACTTTTCACTCCGGACAAAGACCGCTGCACAGCGGACGGTACGGTCGGCCCGGAGGGCCGGGTAGGAGGGGTCTAGGTTACCTCTACTCTACCTTTGAGAGGGCCTGCGGCCCTCTTACCTTGAGGGCCTGCGGCCCTCTTACCTTTACCTCTGGGCAGCCGTGGCCGCCACGCCGTGGGCCCTAAACCCCTACCTCTGAGCGACGTAGTCGTGAGATATTTACCTGGGTGCCGCGTGATCTGTCTCGCCTCGCGAGGATCTCTCTCGCGTCTCGGTCTCGCGCGAGAGGTGAGGCGCCGCGAAAGTGATCTCTCTCGACACTCGAGTGATCTCGAGATGTTGAGATCTCGATACAACATAATCTGCGATTTTCACTCGCCGTTTAGGGTTTAATCTGCTGCGGCGAGCTATAAAAGACGTTAAATTCGGGGACGAGCTCGGTGTGTGTCGATGGTGTGGAAGGGCCAGTGAGAGCAGACTGCCTTCAGGACCGGAGGAGCGAGAAATGCGCATTGTTGGGCATGCCCGCCTGCTTGTCGGCTGCCGGCGCGCAGCACCAGCCGCCGCCCGCAAATTTGAACTTCTGCTTGAAGCCCGAAAGCTGCGCGGTGGTGAGGAGGGGGAGGGTGTCGACAGACGCAAGATTGCTCACGTTGAGCACCCTCGCGGTTTTGTGGACGGCCAGCTTCTCGACGGCGCCGGTGCCGCCCCCCGCGTCGATCTCCGCCGTCACCACGCCCCCCTTGACGGCGGCGGGCGTGCGAGGGTTCGAGAGGAGCGAAAACTCGCGGAGTGTCTCCAGCGGGTGCAGCGGGTGCAGCTCCAGGAAGTGGTCGAGCGGGCACCTACTCGTGGGCCGCGCCGCGATCTCAAGGGTGTCGCACCCTTTCGGAGGGCCAAGGAGTGGTCGGCACTTTCGGATCGGGAGGATGAAAGCGTGCGCGCCGGCGAAGGCGCCGCGAGCCGCCCCGCCCGAGAGCTGGAACCAGGCTTTGTCGTACCCGCAGGTCACTTCTGGCAGGATAAGCTTGCGGCCGAGCGCCTGTGAGAAGGCGTGGGGAATGCCCTGCGGCACCATCGCGGCGCTGCGTGCGCCCGAGTGGGCTCCCGATCTCTGCTACGCCAAACGCCTGGGCGAGCGCTAGCGCGGAGCGGATCTGGCGCAGCTGGTGCCTGATGAGCTCGATGTGCCTGCTCAAACACGCCTCGGGGTGTTGAGGCGTCTCGAGTGGCCGCGAGCTGCTGGCCGATGAGCGCGAGCCCATTTGTCGTCATCCCCTTGGGGGGGTACACGAGTGCCTTCGGGACATCCGGCGCGTAGACGAGGAGTCCGCCTAACGGCAAGAGAAGGGAGCTTGCGGGCGCTGCCGCGCGCGCCTGCGACGCTGATCAGGGACATCAGGAGGGCACCAGGAGGGTCGTAATAGGAGGGCTCGTCGATCCAGACCATCGCCTCCCGCAGCCGGTGCCTATCGAATAGCGGAGCCTCAACGCGCGAAGAGCGTGCGCACCGACGGCGCTGGTAAGGACAGGCTGTGGTGTCCTGTTCTGGTGAGGGGTCGCCCGCGTGAGGTGTGCACTGTCTCTCCACTCCAAGTGGACGGGACGCCGAGGGGCAACGGGGCGCCGTGCCCGGCGGGAAGGGGGAGGGAGAGGGTGGTGGGGCGGGCGCTGCGCCAGGAGGGAAAGGACGGTGGTGGCGGTGATGGTGGTGCGCGCGCGCGGGGGGGTGTGGGGAGGGGGGACGGCACCGCTTGCCCGCCGCCGCCGAGTACTGAAAGGTGGTGTGAATGGAGTAGGGGGGCACCCCCATGCGCTGTGCAAGCTGCGAGACAAAGTAGTTGTGCCTAAGCATCCAGCGCCCTGGGCTCGGGAACGGGTGCGGTCCAAAGGGGCGCGATCCTCGACAGAGGTCGTGGTGCCCGCCAGCGAAGAGCGCGATCGGCAGCACGCCCCCAATCACCTGGGGGAGAGGGGGGGGGGGGGGGGGTCGTGGCTCGATGCGTGGCGGTGCAGACGAATGCCTGCGGCGTGCTCAGGGAGGAGAGCGGGCGCTGCGCGTGTCGGGGCGGGAGCGCGGCACTTTCTCTTGGTAGGCCCAGAACAGCCGCTTGTCTGACAGCCCGTCCGTCCGGCCCGGCTTCCACTTGCTGCGGGCGATCCGGTTGAACTCGCCCTGGTGTCATGTTGGGCGGCACAGTGTCAGCGGCAAGGCGGCACGGTGTCAGCGGAAGGGCGGCACGGTGTCAGCGACAGGGCGGCACGGTGTTAGCGGTAGGGCGGCACGATATCAGGGTGGTACGGTGGTGGGAGTACGAATAGAGTGGTTCCTGGTCCCACCGGTTGCGGGGGTCCTCATTGATGTAGCGCCGCCACTCCTCGACAAGCGGGATCGCCGACGGGCGGAAGAACATGTACCTACCAGGCCGAGCACTCGTTGTCCGGAGGACACCCGGCGGCCCCGAGCCGTCGGCGCGTCGTGTCACCCAATGTTGAAAGCCGAGTGGATGCCCCGGTGGTCCTCGAGGCCATCGTCGGCCTGCGTCATGCATACGCCGAGATCCAGTCAGTCAGTCAGTCAGTCAGTCAGTCAGTCAGTCAGTCAGTCAGTCAGTCAGTCAGTCAGTCAGTCAGTCAGTCAGACGAAATCAAGTAGAATGCGAGACGGAAGGGGCCGGGACACAGGACGGGGAGGGAGGAGGAGGGAGGAGGAGGGGGAGGGAGGAGGAGAGGGCGGGAATGCGGTATCGCGCCGCGTATTCGGCATCCCGCGGAATACTCGGGCTGCGAGTACAACGAGTACCGCGGACTACGCCGGAATACAGTTGAATACGTGCCCTCTCGAGCTGGTTGGTCACATGAACACGTATTCCGCTTCTAGGACCGCCGGCCGTGGTGTTTCCAAGGTGGTCCGAGGTGGTGAGGAAGCCGGCGTCGGGGTAGCGGGCCATGTAGGGGAAGGGGTCGCGCAACACCTAGATGCGGTCTCGTGCCGTGTGGTCGGAGGATCGCGTGCCTTACGGGGGCCACAACTGCTGTGGATGCAGCGGAATACAGCTGCAACACAGCGGGACACAGCCGACGACGTGCCCTCTCTCGAGTGCTGGTCAGAGCACACGGATCTGTGTTCAGCTTCGGACGTGGCAGACGCGTTCGATGGGGCGGCCTCCTCGCGGCCAGGGGCACGCTGGCCGAGAGGCAACGGGCCCGCATCCGTGCTCCCTCGCATGGGGAAGGGGCTGCTGGCGAGTGGGGCGCCGCCGGCCAGGCTGTGCGCAGAACAGTGTGTACCGTTGAGGGAGGTGGTCGCCGTGTGCCGTCGCTCGTGCCCCGCAGTGGAAGCAGGGCGGATACGGCACCGAGTAGGGTGGAGTGGGGTCGGGTGGCGCCCGAATGGAAGGGCAGCGTGTGTGCGACTGCACGCGACTCACCAGCGCGTCAATGTCGGTGATCACCACCTCGAGGCCCCACTGAATCGACTTGTAGATGAGCTCAATCTTGTGCGGGCCGAGTGCCTTGAACGAGGAGGAGCCCCACGGCCACTCCCCTTGGGGCAGGTTGGTCTTCATGCTGAAGCACGGCACCTTGCCCGTTGTGAGTTCCTCCACCGCCACGTCATCGGTGGCGCCGACGAGGAAGTTGGTCAGGCCGAGCGCGCGTATGTGGGCGACCCAGGTGAAGGCGAAGTCGACACGAATCCGATTCGTGAAGGAGAGCAGCAGCTGCTTCTTCGGCCCGGCCACCTTGATGGCCAACTCGCTGCTGAATGGCGGCGTGGCTGACTCAGCCAGACCTCGACCGCCATCTAAACTGTCGTCATAAATGCCCCTCACGTCGCGCACGTCGGCCTCGGTGTAGTCGAGTGGCGCGGCGAAGGCGTCGGGCTGAAGGGCTGGGGCCAGCAGGACTGCGAGCAGCATTGACTTGTCGCCAATGTTTGCCCGGCGCCGGGTAGCAAGGAAAAGAATTCGCGGTCGCAGCAAGGAAAAGAATTTTACAAGAAAACTCCCTCGGAAAAGAATAGCGCTTGCTGTAAATTTCGATAAAGAAGCAGCTGCGCCTCACAAGCGCTCACAGAGGTGCTCCATCACAACTACGCGTGCGAGCCCCGCAGAGGTGCGGGCGAGAGGGCGGCCCGAGCCCGAAAGGGCCCGCCCTCGGCGTTGCTCTACATGGTAACGGATAAGAAGAGAAACACCCCCGGACTGGGACGCCGGCAGTCGAGTCGGGACACGCTGTGGTTCAGACGTCCCCCCCCTCGACGCAGTCGAGTCACTGACATGAATAGGGAGGAGAAAGTGTCCCCCACATATCACCACAGACGCAGCACAGGGGCTCCAATCCTGTCCCAGCCTGGGGGGCCTCGCTAGATCTCCAGTGGGGAGTGCGAGGGCTGGATCGACTGCAGTGTGGGTTGTGGACCGTCGGGATAGCGTGTGGCGTAGATGTTCTCCTGGAAGTAGAGAGGCCGATGTCTCTCGCCCTGCAGGAAGGAGAAACTCGGATGGTTGAGTGAAAACTCCTCCCTGCGGTATGTGCGCAGGACGGGTTGCGCTATGTGCAGCACGGTGTTGAGGGCTCGGGAGGGCAACGACGGCGGCGTCTGCTCACGACAGTGAGTGGGCTCTTCACGCTATCCACTGCGCCGCGGCTACGCCGCGCCCTATCCAAGCCCAGGGCTTGGTCCGCCGCTACCACGTGCGAGCCCCGCAGAGGTGCGGGCGAGAGGGCGGCCCGAGCCCGAAAGGGCCCGCCCTCGGCGTTGCTCTACATGGTAACGGATAAGAAGAGAAACACCCCCGGACTGGGACGCCGGCAGTCGAGTCGGGACACGCTGTGGTTCAGACGCTACGTGACGACCGACGTAAGCGCGAGTTCCACGTACACAGACACCCAGGGAGACGGACACCGACAAGCCGTACAGAGGGGCGGACCGCTTCTCGCTTGCCTTCAAGCACGCAGACGCATCACAGCACAGACAGCACACAAAGAGGGCTCGCGACAGACTGCGTGCGAACAGCAATGTACCGGTACATCGTACTCGAGTAGTAGGTGCTCCCGGGGCTGGGGAGTGTGATCAGACCGCGTCGGCTCCCCGCACCATCAGCGCCTTGGGGGCGCAGACGTAGCCGTAGGTGGTGTGGTTGATTGCGTGGAGCAGCATCGCCCACGTCGCCATCGTGTTGAACACGAGGCCCGCCCCAAATGCGTAGACCGGGTATGCGAGGCCCCAGTGCAGCCACTGCAGCGGCGAGATCGGGAGCATCTTGGACGCCTCGCGCCGCGGCTTGAGGATGCACTGGTGCAGCACAGCCTCGCGCACGAGCGTGCGGACCCACTGGAAGCCCAGCGTCAGCAGTGGCAGCCCCACCGTGAGGGCGAGGGCACGCGGCGGCAGCGCAGCGAGCATCGCCCACATCTGAGGAAAGAGTAGGATCAGCCATGGAGGCACCACCGTCGTGGTGAGCATCTGGCCGGCCGTCAGCTGCAACATGCGCAGCCAGATCTTCCAGCGAAGCAGCGGGAAGAGCGAGGCGACCCACGCCGTCTCCTCAATGCCCCACATGTGCCGCTTCGCCTGCACCCAGCGGTCGCGCAGCCCGGTCACGCTGTCGTTCAGGATGATCGACCAAACTGGCACCACCACGTTGGCGGCGGCGTTGGTGAAGGCGACCGCCTTGAGCGTGGTGTGCAGGTCCTCGCTGGTGTTGTCGGGGTGCCAGTAGTCGATCAGGTGGGCCATGCCGAGCGTGAGCGAGTAGTTGGACTGCGCGGGCTGGAACTGGAGCGCGGAGAAGGTGCAGTACTGCGTGCGCTCGATCTCAAAAACGGCGACGAGCGGGTGGCATGCGGCGAGGTTGCGGTACGTGTTGATCGGCGAGTCGAAGAGGGTGTGCCTCCCGTCGGGCTGGCGGCAAAACTCAGCCTCGAGGTGCTCGAGGAAGACCGAGTCGAACTGCGAGTCGGCGTCCGCCGTCGTGACCATCACAGTGTACGGGTCGATAGACCTCGCCTGCGCCCACGAGTAGAGCTCCATGCACGCGTGCCGCTCGTTGGACGACTTGCCGGCCACCTCGCCGGGCCCGAGGCTGTGCCGCGTCTGGAAGAGCTCGAGGAAGGCGCCACCGAACTCGGCGTGCAGCCGTGCGAAGGTCGAGTCGGCGCTCTCGTCGCGCGCCTCGGTGGCGAGGATCACGACGCAGCTCTTGGCGAGGTTGTTCGCCGCGAGCGAGCCGATGGTGGCGGCGAGCACCTCGAACGGCTCCTTGTACGCGCAGATGATTACGGCGTGGACCAGGCGCTCGCGGTCCTCTGGCAGAGCCGGCCGCCTCAGCCCGCGAAACAGGCACTTGAACGTCAGAACATCGAGCCCCACCTCGTAGCACATCTTGGCGAGGACCGACACGGCGATGCTGGTCACCACGCACGGTGCCGTCAGCGCCGCGTCGATGTGCCCGGCGCCGCCGTCGGCGAGGACTTGCGTGGCGATGGGCAGGAAGAAGAAGGCGGCGGTGCCCATGCAGAGGAGGCTGAAGCACGGCACCAGGGCGAGGTAGCGCATCAGAGCGTGCCCCGAAGCCTGCCACGGTAGCGACAGGCGGCCCTTGGCATACTCGACTTCGGTGATCCACTCGAGCCAGCCGTCGAGCGACCCCGCGCCCTCGTACTTGAGCGGCGGAGCCTCCACGTCGCTCGTCTCAGCGCCCTTGGTCGCGAACGAGTTTGGGGCGAGGCTCAGGTGCCCGACGTCGGGCGTCAGCGAGCGGTTCGCCGTCGGCAGCAGCCGATGAAGGCTGGGGCGCTTGACGAACTCTGGCTGTGTGCGGGCCGCCGGTGCGGTGCAGAGGAGTGACGAGAGCCACGTGGGCTCGAGGACCAGGCCGAAGAGGCGGCGGACGGGCGAGCTGCAGAGCAGGGCGCAGAGGGCGAGGCAGAGAGCATACTGCGAGGCCAGCACTAGCAGGTGCGACGGGAGCCGCGTCAGCACCGGCAGGGGCGGTGCCACGGTCAGCAGCCTCTCGCGGCCAGCGAGCACAAACTCGTGCAGCAGAAAGGCGTAGAGGGTGTGCTTTCCGAAGCCGGTGAACCAGCGGGTCGAGCGAGGCACGAGCGTGAGCAGGACCACACAGAGCTGCGCGATCTCAATCACGTGCTTTGCGGCGCGGCGAGTCCAGTAGAGCCGGTACGGCAGCGGCACGCCCTCAGCCGCCAGCTTGGCGGTCGCCTCGAACTCGGACTGCGCATAGAACCAGCCGTAGGTGCCGTGGTTGTCGGGGAGCGGCTCGAGGAGCGTCAGCGCCATCGGCAGCGCCACCATCAGACCGAGACCGATCGTGAAGGTAGTGGGCGTGCGCGGCACGGCGGTGGCCAGGCGGTCCAGGGGGCACGCCCACCCGGCGAGGAAGTAGGGCAGGAAGCCGAGCGCGTGGTCAAACGAGAAGAAGCCGCCCTCGCCCACGTCCCAGTAGCCCGCGATGTGCGAAGCGCCGATGGCGAGAAGCACAAGGAAGGGGCCGCGCAGCGGCCAGATGGCGAAAGAGAGCAGGCGCCAGAGGATGAGCGCCTCGAGGTACCACTCGTGGTGGTGCGCCTTGAAGGTCATGACGTCGGCGAGGACGGTGCACGGCGCCTCGCCACCGAGGATGACACGGTTGAGCAGAGGCTTCGCAGCAAAGACCCAGATGAGGGTCGGGAGCACGAGCGAGCGGACAAAGGAGGCGAAGCGGCCGGCGTCGACCGGCTTGGCCATGAGGTTGCCCGAGACGAAGCAGGCGAGATTGATGCGCCAGTTGGTGACCTGCAGGAGGAAGAGCAGCGTCGGAGCCGCGCCCTGGAGCCAGCTCTGGTAGTCGTGCAGGACCAGGTGGGTCGAGTGGTCGAGGTTGTAGTAGAGATAGTGCCCAAAGATGATGAGCGACGAGCAGAGAAACTTGGCATTGTCCAGGTGCGCCGACCGGCCGCTGTCGCGGCCGCCGTCGGGCGCCGCGCTCTGGAGCCAGAGGGCGACGAGGCAGAGGAGGCAGAGGCCGACGGCGACGATGGCGGCGCAGGCGATGGAGAGGCGAATGTGCGGCGCGGCTGCGGCGGCCCGCGCGTCCTCCTCTGCCGGGTCCCACTGCCACAAGCGGCTCGCGTAGGTGGCCTCGTCCGCGTGTCGCATCGTCGCAAAATCCGCCTCGAGCAGGAAGGCGTACGGGTCGACGCCGGTGGCCGCCAGCAGCTCAGCCACGAAGGCGGCGGCGGGCGCCTTGGTGAGCTGGTTGGAGGCGTACGCGTCGCGAAGGGCGCCGAGCGAGGCCTCGTCGCCCCCGCCGATGAAGCCTCCGATGTGGGACGGGTAGGAGAGCTCGTTGACGGAGAAGGTGCCCGCCTCGCTCAGGAAGACGTCGAGCCGCAGCCAGTCGGCGCCGAGAACGCGGGTCGTCGAGCGTGCCACCTCCTCGAGGCGCTTGCGGTGGGTCTCGAGGAGGGTCACGGCGCGGGCGCAGTGCTGGGCCGTGTCGCCCAGGTTGCGGCCACCGAGGCAGGCGACCTCACCGCCGCGGAACTGTACGTCCAGGTACGTGTCCCCCTTGAAGGGCAGCGCCTGCAGGCGCGCCGAGGCGAGGCGGCCAAGCGGGGCGTGGACCTTGACCTCGAGGCGGAGCTCGCCGGGCTCGCAGTCGAAGCCGCCGCGAACATCGGGTACCAGCGACTCCTGCACGATCACAGCGCGGTGCTCGTATCTCTGCCCCCACTCGGAGTGCCACCGGTTCTTGACAAATTTGTCGGCGTAGTCGGCGAGCCGGTTCCGGTTCCAGCCCTCAGAGGCCCAGCGGTGCTCGTCCATCACGAGCACGTCCACGTTGCCTCCGTTGGTGGCGCTCTTGAGGACAAACTTGGTCTTGCCGTGCATGGCGGCGAGGAAGGCTGAGCGGTTGAAGCGAGGCCACGCGCCTTTGCACGCGCGGCGAGGGTGGGGTCAGAGGGAGGCTGTGCGCAGCGGCGGCGGTCACGGGTGAGGCGCACCCAGCGACTTGGTGGCGAACGCGCCGTACAGGACGGCGGGCTGAGGCACGTTGAGGGCCTCGAGGAGGGAGTGGGACAGCAGCTTGTTCTCCATCACGCCGAACGACGCGCCCGCGCGCCAGCGCTTGAGCTGGGCCATCACACGCTCGGTGCCCTCGAACGGGACGTTCGACACCTCGGGCAGGAGCCAGAACTCGTCGGAGATGGTGTGGGTGAGAGCGCTCTCGCTCAGGGCCGACTTGTCGAAGAGCCTGCGCGGAGCTGGTGTCGTGCACTCATACTGGTAGCATTTCCAGAGCGCCTTCGAGGTCGGGTCGGGCGAGCGGACGGCGTAGAGGCAGGCGACCTCGCAGCCGAGCGAATTGGTGGCGGAGGCGCAGCCGTCGAGGCACTGGCCGAGGTTCGTGTGGGCCGATGGGCACGTGGAGAGGCAGGACGAGGCGAAGGCTGTGACCGCGAGGGGCAGCGTCGTGAGCATGGTGAATGCGAGGAAGCAGACCTGTGATGCAGACACGCTCCACCAAGCAGCCAAGAAACCGCCCACGCGGGTTTCTTTTCTGGAGTTCCGGCTGCTCCATCAGCCACAACTACCAACCAACCTCTGCAATGGTGCCACAACTACCATCCGTCCTTGCTTCGCATAGCCAACTAACTCCACTCTCTCTCTCTCTCTCTCTCTCTCTCTCTTCTTCTTTCTTTCTATCTCTCTTTTGTTTTGTTTTGTTCTATTAATCTATAGCAAGCAAAAGGACTGACTGCTGTCCTCTCCTCCCTCTCCTTCAGGGCATTCGTGGCATCCTATGGGTCGTCCAGAGTATCGACCTCTGGCGAGTCAGCCAGCCCCACTTTGAGGGCGCCATGAAGTACAGCGATCGCCATCTCGCTGGCAGCCTCTCCGCAAGGCCCCCCGACCGCGTCGAACTCAACGGCGCGGGCTCTCTCGGCTACGGGACCGGTCCCAGCTTCGGCTGAGGGCTGACAAGCTGCCGAGCCCAAATCACTGTGCAGTCGTGATTTCTTGTTGGTTTTCAAAAATCTCTCTCTTGCTAGCAAGCAAGGCAAAAAAAATACCCATCGCTGCACTGGGTCCTTGGACGGCCGCCGACTCCCTCGACCTTGGTTCCCCGATCGCGATTGCGACGAGACCGCCCCTGCCGTCCTCGACAACCGCCCCTGCGCCGGGTTCCCTCCAGCTCTCGGCCCCATGAAGCTCTCCAAGTCGGGCGGCACCACGCGGCCGCCGTTTCGCCCCGACCTCTTCACGGTCGAGGCGTACAAGGCCGGCAAACTGGTCGAGCTCAAGCCTCTCGGGAGCGGCTCATTTGGGTCGGTGATGATGGTGGAGGACCGCACCACCGGCTCCCGTTGTGCGCTCAAGCGCATCGACATGCGTCAGCTGTCCCAACGCAAGCGGGCGCAAGCGCTCGCCGAAGCCGACATGATGCGCCAACTTGTCCACCCCTGCATCTGTGGCTTCTACGGATCGTTCATCGACGCGGACATTGTGCACATTGGCATGGAGCTGTGCTCGGGTGGCACCATCGATTCGTGGATCGAGTCGCGCCGCGGTGCGAGCCTGCCGTCTGAGGTCATCCTCGACTGCTTTCTGCAAGTTGCTGCCGGACTGCGGCACGTCCACCGCCGCAAGGTGCTGCGGCCGGGGCTCTCCATTCCCTGCCTCCTTGCCACGCGAGATCCCTGGCACACCGCGTAGGTGCTACACCGCGACATCAAGGCGTCAAACATCTTCCTCTCGCGTCGCAAGGCACCCCCCGCCGGCCTAGAGATGAATGAGTCAGAATGAGTCATGAATCATCAACCTCCTCATTCGCAGCGCCGGCCAGTGCTCGGGGAGCCCCCCCCTCCACAACACACACACACACACACACACACACACACACACACACACAC